TAAGTGATAACATCGTATCATCGAAAAACCATAGACCCATAATAATACGACGAGCACAAAACAGATAATTATTGTGTCTTCAGAGAATATAATAAATGGCTGAATATAGCGTAATATTATCATAGAAASATAATAATATTAGAAACCTTTAAACCATAGATTAATATACCTATTATTATATTAATTTAATGAGAATTATGAAATGTTTAATCTACAAGCCAACGTGACAATAATCGAATTCGGTTCAAGCATATTATTTAATCGAACTCGTTTAACATTGAATAGTTCGAGTACTTCAGTTTATAAGTCTTTTTTATCCATCAAATGTATACAGAACTACCTCTGTGGGTTATGGAAGTATAAAATGCTTACAGGTCGCTGTTCGTTTTACTATGACCTATGGTTACTGGTTAGGTATTGGTTAGGTAGGTATATATTATTTCAATAATAGTTGACAAAGGTGAGAAAATGAATGAAAATGAAAACAAAAATATTACCTATAATATGTTACGTGCTGATAAATAAATACCAGATGGCATTATGGCAAACATTTGTGACTATATTAATATTATCAGTGTAGCTAACGAGTAACGACCAAAACTAATAATAACCATTAGTATCAAAAGCATACAGAGGTCAACGATAGAAGCGTGATSAATAAGATTTAAAATTAATCAAATTATAAAAATGTTTTCACACGTCTCTTCTCGRAAAAGATTCGAAATCCACGAGAAGGATATAAAACAATCGGCATACTAACTACTAAGTTGAATCAAGAGACCCAAATTTCGACATGTAAGTATGTAACAGGAAAGTTGCCACCACTACACGACCTCTACTCCTAAGGACAGAATCATATATAAGAGAGACGAGAACAAAAGCTCGTCAGACGGTATATAAAATGTATTAAAATTTGAGCTAGACGGTTAGGCAGATAAGGCTAAGCAAGGTACTTGGAGGCAGGTCGTAAAACCGCTCACCATCATCATATTAACCATAATTATTAATTATATTTTTGTATTAAGTGAAATCWACAATATTTTATCCAAATATAAAATAGGTACATCAAGTTCATTCCTGCGTTTATGTATGAGTCGATGTCAGTTGGGAGTAGGGACGCAACAAATAAGTGCATTCGTTACACTTACAAGAACGGTTAACTTATTTAATCAGCTGTATAGCTGCTAATCATAAGGTAACTATTTATAATGCTGTTCGTCTTTTCCGCAAATTGCTTAGTTTGCAGAGTATTATTATTTGAATCCGTCTGGAAAGGAGCAATGATTATCATCTGACGGAGATATTTCCAAGAATAGATTGTTTAAGTTTGAAGACTTGGCCAGTCTCCARAATTTTGAATGACAACGAAATCGTCCAAAGCTGTTGATGCATCTATTCCCCATACCTATCCAAGTTTAAGCCAGAAAGTCTGTAGAAGACAATTAAATGCTAACTGTAAACGTTTTTCACGAGGATTAGCGATTATAGAATAATGGGTACTTAAGTTAATCAAAGTTATGAATTTATCTAAMGCAGTAGCAGTTTTTAGTCAAATTATGAATTCACTACACAACAAATGACTTACGGGATTCCTCGCATAGTCGCATTAATTYAGGTYCATAACAATATAATAGTTTAAGTGTAATTACTGTAATTGAAATATAAGTTTAAGGCTAATTCGGGATCTTAATGAAGATCTAAATGCCTGTCTTGTYACTTGAAAAATCATCAGTTATTGAATAAGATTAGTTGCAGGAGGCTGAATGGTAACCATTCAATAGTTAAATAAAAGTGCACTTTTGTGCATGAGATAGAAACTGATCATTATTGAGCAGCAGGGACTCTTACAACATGGTGTCATGGTGACTGCACCGATTAGGGCTATTTTATGGTAATCAGTCAAAATATCCAAGGACAAAATATCCAAACCATAATATCCAACGGTCAAAATATCCAAATTTTACGTWAATTAGTATATTACACTTTACTTTCTAATAAAATTAACTTCTAAAAATATAAATTACGTTAGTAGTATAATAATATCACAAAATATATTACTGCACAAACATTGGGTCAAATAGTCAAATAATATAAAATAAAATGTAAAATAATTTGTTTTTATRAATACAGGAATAATTTGCTAAAAAAATGACCTACACTATTTTCTAAAAATTTAAAAATTATATATATTATATTGAATTATATAATGTATTATTTATATTTATGTAATTATTATGTAGGTATTAGGTTTGTATAATGTCAAATAAACGATGGCGGCGCCGCGGAAGTAATGCGAAAGCAGTTCCCGCGACTTCCTCGGTTCAAAACTGGAGAAAAAAAAGGTATTAGGTATATTTTTATAATTAAATAATTTGATATTTGAGTTAATTTTATTAGAAAGTTATGTGTAATATATTAATTTACGTGAAAACGGATAAATTTGGATATTTTGTCCGTTGAATATTTTGTCCTAGATTCCTATTTTATATTTTTAGATAATATTATGACTAATCATGAATGTATACAACTAATTAAATGTCCGTTTTCTTATTTTCCATGATGGAACGATAGAAGTAATTATTTYTATCACGTAAGTGCATATTAAAACATACTAATGTACCTTTGAACATAATACAATAGACGATACTAATTATATAAATCTATAAACTATTAAGTTTGTAATAAACTTACTCCGTGTAGGCGATTCTTTACCTGTATTCCATCCTCCCCTCTCTCAAGAGGTCAGCAGTCCACGACGCTATTCATCTCTTTGGTCATACACATTTATAGTATATAGGTATTATGCTCATACGAAATACATACGAGTTTGTATATCATGTTATGTTTGTCGTATATAAATACTATAAATATACGTAATATACATACAGTTAAACAATGCTCTGCAAGTTTTAATAATATTATTTTTGTCAATTTCATTTTGAAATTCTACTATACTACCCAGGGGGGGGGGCATTGGCCGTGTTTTGGAATACATTTTATATTATAAAAGACAAACAAACCATGATATTTCTAAAGAACGGTATTGAATACAAATACAACGTATTATCTTTAGTAACAATCAGAGGTTAAAGTGGGAAAAAATTCCAGAGGGGACTAATGTCTATTGTCTCCATATTATAGTTTTAAGCGTTCCATATATAATTTTATGTATAATGTATTAATGTCTAATGTATAAAATCCTAATTTGTTAAAGGGGATGCTTTTTAACCGCCGTCAGAGGTAAGGGKACTGAGTCCTCCTGCGTCCCCCCCACTTTAACCCCTGGTAACAATGACCTAGTATAAGCAAAGCATAAAGTTACGTTTATTATGATATCAAATACCGATATAGATTTAGCCCCCCCCCCATTCGAAAATCCTGGATACGCATACCTCCTATTACCTCTACTAGATTATAGATTGTAATTAAAAATATCCAGTATCACGAGCATAAAATATTGAGTCTTGTATAGTTGTATCAGGAATACAACAAATCAGTCTTCGTATTAATTATTAATTTTTCTATCGTATCTATAATAATTAAAAATATTTTTGTACTTGGTTCTTATAGTTTGTAATTAAAAAGCAATAATCTGTATAATAAACGAGGAAATTAAATTATATTATGTGAAAACATTTGATTATTAAAATAATGTTATTTTGCCCATAAACTCAAGTTCCGTGTGTAACAAAAGGTTAAGAACCGCTGCACTATGATATCATTCTTCTTTATGTATTAATTTATAAGGCTTATTTTAAATATAATAAAATTAAAATGTGGTTCGTTCACTGACACGAAAGGAACAAATACACTAACTAGCATTAACTATATCGTTTCGTATTGTCACTTAACGCCCTAACGGTAAAAGTGTCGCTTTCTAGTTTTTATATTAACAGGGAATACGGATGACATTCGGCAATCGACCTAATCCAAACGTGCGACGAACATAATATGCTGACGGGCGACCGCCATATTGACCGAAAGTATTATATAGCCGACAAGGTCACATGACGGAAAACCAACAATAATTAAAAATGTGTTAAAGTTGGGAAATATTCAAATATTAATAGATTTTGATCAGTGATCACGTCGGATATTATATCGTTTAAAATTAATATTGGAGAAATGAAAAAATAAAATAAAAATTGAATTTTAATTGTCTACTAATTAATTAAGTATGTTAAAATAGAAAAAATATTATATATTTTTTTTCATTCTAGGTGAAATTGAAATAATTTCATTATAGGATCAGCTAGGTCAAAACAAAATACAAGCATGTTATATACGCCGAAAACAAATAAAAGTCATTCCTAATGTTAAACAAAACCACACTGAATAGCCCTCGAAACAATACGGTAAATAAAATTTYGTCATAATACGTTATTAATACCTATAATTTTTCTTATTTTATAAGTGGATAAAAGTATAAAACGGGGCTAAATTAGGGAACTGTTCAACTGTGGGTCATATCCCCCATGTATACTTACTCTGTGGTTTGG